GGCCTGCCAAATAGCTCCCGGAGCTTTTGCTTGCATAACTCCCAGCTAGTCAGTTCTTCCTCGTGCGTCTCGTACCAGACCTTTGCGGTACCTCTGAGATAAAAAATCACGTTGGCCAGCATGAGCGTTGGATCCCATCGCATACGTACACCCACTCGTTCGTATGACTTCAGCCAGACTTCTACGTCAATGCCATCAGTGCCAGAAAAGGTACCTGGATCTCTCGGGGGCTCCAAGATGAGGGTTGACGGTCCAGTTGGAGAAAGCACGGACGTAGTTGGAGAAGGCACGGTAGACGGGGAAGGGTCGGCATTGTTGACTGCAGTCGCCATGGGGGAGACCACTAGGCGCCCGCTACGAAGCTCCGTTTTGCGTGAAGTGAGTACCCCGCACCTCCCACCAATGATGTTACGGGAGAATAACTTTACTTTATAAAACGAGGAATAAACTCGGTGGTGGACAAGATGGCGCCCAGTTGGCTCACAGATCTGACAACATCGTCCTCCTCTTTGTCTTCTTCGTCGTTCTCATCCTACCGTTACAATATCAGGCAGCCATTACTACATGATACTGAAAAAGGTCATTGCATTTGATCTTATCGTAATCACTTACACTTTTATTGAAGAATCTGTTCTCAGTTGCCGTAAAACAAATAGTCAAAAGGTATGCGCTTATTAAAATGTCTTTATTTGTCAGCATATCGATTGAAAACTGATTAAGCTCGTTCACCGATCGAAACGTGGGCGTATACGAACAACTGAAGAAACTTTCGGCGCAATTGAACGAAGACACAAAGCTCAAAAGTACAACACGTATAGGCGTCAACTTCCAACAAACTTTGTTCAGCAGTGGAAAGAAGATTTCGTAGCTAAGAAAAAACATACGAACGTGGCATTCACAGTTTTTTATTAATGAAGAACCACATCGTGTTGCTGGGAAGTCCAATCTTGTTTATTTTAAAGAAATGGAAAGGTCATGCTGTGCAGGCTTCTCCCTTTTTGTCTATGTAATACGCCTCTGTTACTTCTCTGTCTTTTGCTTTGCTCTGCCTATAAACTCGGCTTGAGTGAACTTGGCTAGCGCCCACACAACTCGAAACGCATCGCCATCACGCTGTGAAAACGATCTTACCGCGAATGTGCTTTATTCAGGAGTACCGAAAGGCTTCGGTGACATATTTTTGTAACGGAAATAACGCCTAAAAGTTCACACGATCAGATGGCCAAAGAAAAAACAAGTTACATCAACGGAAGTCAAACACGGCACCTCTCGGTATGGAAGAACAGATGCCGGGCTGCTGCGCCAGTGTTGCAAACTCTGAAAGCTTTACAAGCACGCGTTATATGTGTCGCATTTTCCTCTCAAAGAAGTCCCTGTCGGCGGGATGCTGTTGCCCTATCGGAGTGATAAAATGAACTAACGCATCAGGACCATGGCCTCCACGATTAGCTCCGGCCAAGATTCATTTGTACGAGTCCGTCCTATTTGGCGGGTTTCCAATAGGAGGCGTGGGGTTTGAGCACACCACTGAAGTGGTGTTTCAGCTCAATCGTCTTTATTGAAGCATACCTCCACTCATGTCATTCATATATACAAAAAATAGGTCTACGACGCCCACCTGCCTCACCTGGTTGTAACACCGCGTGGCCCGCTTGCGCACGCCACACGAAAAATCATGGCCGAGCTAAAGGACCGACCTGACGCGTGTTGCGTTTACCTCTAGTGCGGCCGTGGTGTTTCATAACTTTTTAACATGCCACAGAATTTCAATCTTAGTTCAAGTTCTGCGTTGAATTAGCAACGCTCTTCTGGTTTTACGCAACTCTTCTCATTACGCCCTTACCATGAAGGGCTCCAGCTGCCACAAGGGTTTGTCTAAACACACATTTTACTTTCATGATATATGAAACCTTATGAGCCATATTTTTGTGTTTCTCTTTTGTTGTTTCGGTGTTGCATGGCCATATCATTGAGACGCTGCTCAGTTTGGTTTGTATATCATTCTGCCCAACTCAATGTCCATAAGGTACGCAACTGCCGACGTGTACTCCGTAAACACACTCTCTCGCTTTGTCGAACATATCGTCTGCTTTGTACTCACCATGGACGCACTCGGCAGAGAATTATACATGGCCGCTGACACAGCGACACAGATCCCATGACGGGATTCTGTCTCTCTGAGATTGTGTGATATAGCCTAATATAAGACGCCACCTGCCCCGGCTTCATTTTTTCTTTCCTTTTTTCTGTTTTTTCTGGCCATCGTCTTTGTGCGTGTTATGTGCTTCAAGTTGGTCTCACAAACACTTGAAATGAAATCTGAAGAGTATTCAACTTCCCATATCTGGCTGAGCTGCGCTCCGACGCTGACTTTCACTTGATGAATGCGCAGTTTTTTAAGGAGCGGTTTTAAGCAGGTGGTTACAAAGCTTCTTTCGAAAACTTGCAAAGCAGCGCTTTCAGGACCATACACACATTATCAACTACAGGCTTTCATCACTCATAAAATTTTAACTAACTTCAACAACTGTCGGCTATGACCGCAAGTTTTACGCACAAGCAAAGATTTGCATCGGTTCCTTAATAGAACTATTATGAAGGTTGTGTGTTTTTATGTCTTATCGAAAAGCGGGTTGTCAGCAGCTTTTGTGGTGGTCCCGTAGTCAAGGTATACAATTAAAATGTTGATTTGATGGTTGTGACAAATTCAAGTACTCAGGAACTTAGCGCAGTTGCAGAGAAGGTTTTATTTGTTGTTCTTCAAGAAAAGTTAGCTCTTCTGATTTCTCAAGAAGCAGAAGGGCTAAGATTCACATCCGAGCTGCCGCACAAAGGGGCATTACAATTTTTAGAAGTGAAAGTTTTGTTCACTCCCGGAGCGCACCTTTTTAGAGCGTAAAATCCTGTAGTAAGGAATGCCTATTACCTAGGTAAACTGTTCATTCGAAAGTTATAAAAACGATCATTGTAATAGGGAACATAAAAAGTGCTCTTCGAAAAAAGTAGGTGCATGAAGGGACAGCCAGTGTCGAAGCACAGCTCAACTGGGTAAGGGAAGCTTAAGAACCAGTCATATTTGATTTCAAGTGCTTGTGAGGCTGTCTTGAAACTAACGACATTCGCAAAGACAATTCCCAGAGAAAAATGCAAAGAATAAACGATGCCGATGCGAGACTTTCCTTTTAGTCATGCTACATCGCACAATCTCAAAAGGGTGGCATGCCGTTATGATGTCTATGTCGCAATGACAGCGTCCTGCAAACAACTCTCTGTGGTGTGCGCCACGAGGAGCAAAAAGACGAAGATGAGTTCCGCAAAGTAGTGCGACTAAATCTACCAAGCATGGATGGCTCGGCAGTTGCGTACCTTATATTCTGTTGAGTTACGGAAAGTAATAGATAGGCCGAAGCTGGCAGTGCTTCAACGATTTGGCCAGATAACTCCCTCTGAATGTAAAAGTGGTTTCGCTGGCCCGACGGAAAATCAGTGCAGGGTGTGTATATGCTAACCCAATTTCACTTACGGTAAGTTTATAACCAGAAAAAAAGGAAAGATGGAGAGAAGTAACTGAGGCCTACGACATAAAGCAAAAGTGCGACGCCTTAATCAGCACGGCTTCACTATCCCTTCAAGATAAAGAGGTGCGTTTTCTCAGTAACACGTCGGGAAGTTTTTTGTTAACAAAAACTGTGATATGAGAAGAATTCATGTCTGTTTGTAGCTGCTACGAAATCATATTTCTATTCTGAAATGAAATTTATTAAAAGATGACACCTGTTTTGTTTCTTGTGTCATATGTCCTCGTTTAATTTGTGCCAAAAGTGTCGTATGTCATGAGACAGTACCAACTAGTCCAAATTAAGGTTCTGCAAGAATAAACAATTTTTTACGCGTATACTAAGTGCGCACGGGAAAGACAAGAACATGCACCTGGTGAAACATTGACTCCACGGACAGCCGTCGTTCAACAACAATCATATCTTGAAGCCTTCATTTCCCCCTGATAGTCTGTCTTGTGTAGACGTATTTTGTTTCGATGATTAGCTAGTCTTAGTGGATGCGGTAAGAGAAGAATGGATATGGTAGAACGGAAGTAGGTGAAGTGATAACACCTGACTTCTTTTTCATGTAATCTCATGGTAATATAATGAACTATTATTGATAATAATAATATTATAATAATATATTTCATATATCCAACATATCTTTTTTGACTGCCTAGAGTATAGTAGACAACGACTATGCCTTCGCAAGGAACTCAGCAAATTGAATATTCAACCTTTGTCGGAGGAAAGAATTGTGCAACATCGACAAGATGCAACTGCACAGAAGAAGGCCCTGAAAGCGCTACTGCACTTTTTGCGATCGACCGGCTTTACTGAACGGTTGTAGCTAGGACGCCCTTCCTGTGTGTGTTTTCGATTTCTCATGAGTCCACGTGCGTTTTTTTTTTCTCTCTCTCTCTCTGTCTACCCCCTCTTTCTTGCCCCTATTTTCCCTCCCCCTGTGCTAGGTAGCAAACCGGATGCTAATATCTGGTTAACCTCCCGGCCTTCCTTGTTCCCTATTTCAATCTCTTTTAACTTACTGGATATTACGTGCCAAAACTACGCTGTTATTGAGGTATGCCGTAGTGGGTTGTACGAAATCACTTCGACCACCTCAGATTCTCTAACTTGTACAGCTTAGACATAAATTCTCTTTATTTTCAACACTATTAGCTTGGGTTTTCTTGTTCCTTTTGTTTATTTATTAGGTTTTTATTTCATGTTTTACGAATTTGTTCTTCTTTAAACACCCCCATCTGAACGTATTCAGCTGGTAAAACAATATTATTGCTAAGGTAACTTACTGTTCATTTCATGGCTGATCCCCCGTGGTGGTTTGCGCCAGGCATCTATGGGCCAACCAACCAACAAACTATGTGACCATATGGGTCTAATTTGCATTTACCCTACGTATATTGCACTACTTCAAGGACACAAACAAAATGTACTTACATGCCGGAGGCACTTGCTCCATCCGAAATCTATTCTCCGCTCTGTCGCCGGGATAGCTCATTGTCACTTCTGTACCAGCCGCTCCTTAGACGAGGTAAGCTAGTGCGAACGTATCGCCTCTTGTAGTCCCAAGAATGGCCTTATCGAAACGTTCCGTTATCTCGGAGTGTTCGGTTCTTGAATTCTGCTGAATGCGTGCGATACGAGAACAAGAAAAGAAAGCAAATATCGCATGGCGCGGCGTGTGAGCTTATCTGTATGGACGGCATTACGCGAAGAAATCTTTCGTGAAGTGCTTATTGCACAACGGTAGTGAGTGCTATATTGATGCCTGTCGGTACTTTGTGATAGCAATATCAAGTGTGATAAATCATAACATAACATACCAGGGCAGAGGGTGCAGGAATGACCAATAGAGATAAGCAGTGCGGAAGGAAGCTATGAGGTAGCATTTCATGTACAAAAGCCAAGCGGCTTTTGCCAGCTGAAGATATTGATTGATTGATTGATTGATTGATTGATTGATTGATTGATGATTGATTGATTGATTGATTGATTGATTGATTGATTGATTGATTGATTGATTGATTGATATGTGGGGTTTAACGTCCCAAAACCACCACATGATTATGAGAGTGGAGGGATCCGCCAATTTCGACAGCAGAAGAGTGTTATTAAATAGCGAATGACAAGTCAGAGGTGATAGTTGCTCGTCAAACAAGGTACATTAGACCAACTTTCATATTACGGCACTCACGGACCCATAAAGAAGTATTGAGGCATTTTGTGGTTTGTATATCTAATAGGCGCGATTGCTTCGTTGAAATTACATTTACAATCGGCAGTTGTACCTTTGCTTTAGCTGTATCTATTTCCAGAATATTGTTTCTCTATAAAATCTGGCGCCTATCCCAGGCTACTTTATAAGCAAAGACTTCAATTTCCTATCTCTCCCAATTGCTTCCGTTACGTGCGGTCACACACTTCAAATGAGGCGCCGCCAATCTAAGAGCGGCGTGCTGCATACTTGCATGGCTTCCGCTTTACGTTTGAACATGCGATGCCTGAAAATCCTCGACGTGGTAAATTGCAAATTTGTGTAGGTCGGTCGGCCCATGTGGGCTCGGCCGTGCAGTGCTGATTGGGTCTGATCTACTGACTCATCCAGCAGACACGGACATTTGATTACACACAAACAAGCATTTAAATAAAATAAGAACATGGGCTTGAGATGATAAAAATGAACTGAGCGGACATATAAACAGAAATTCACGTCATGAAAAAAAGAACAACAGAACTAACCATGCTCTAAAAGAATATTACAAGTACAAACATACACAACGCGAATTGTTAACAAAATGAGTATGTTAAGAGAAAGAAAAGAAAAACATGAAGAAACATTACTAAAAAAAGATGGTGCTCTCAAATTTAGACTTCTCGTGCAACGCAGCGCACACTAAAACGATGTTTAAAAGTGAGAGTTATTGAAATACCAGTTGCAGAAAAAATTAATTACAATAAAAAGTTTCATACGGACCAGGCCCTGCTCTTGGGTCACGTGGGAGAGTCGACGGGGTGCCGCTGAAGGTCTCGCCGGCTTGGAAGGCAACGAGGGTGCCCGCTGTTGCACACGTCTCAATGTGTTGCGCGTAACACTCCGTACTCGTCGCCTACTCGAGACTCGTGGCGCCGACGACAGCCTTCTTCGCTTGTGCAATGTCAACTTCCGATTCCGATGCAGTCACATTTTTTCGGGGCGTAGGCATCCCCCTCATTTCCCCTGCAAGTATTTTTTTTTTCGTTGAACACATGCGTGTTCGGTACTGGTGTCGATAAGACACGGCGGAGCCGTCGCCGAGTGCTGGTTAGTCGCCGGAAGTTGTCTTGCCCAACCCGAAGTCGACCTTGCATGGATGAAGAGACGCGGGGGCAAGAATCGCAACACTCTGTTGAAATAAATTTTTTCTTCTCCTTCTCCAGTCGTTTGTGGCATGCGCCAAATGCTGTCGTCTCGTCCTAACAAATTATGCCTCGCTTTATTGGAACACTTACTTCTCTGCCACCTTCAGCTGCGTTTCCCTTGTTTTTGTTACTCCGACAATCGACTTTAACAAAATTCTTCCTATTACTTGTGAACGTTGCCTGGCTTTCAAACTTCAGTCTTTTCTAGCGCTCTGCATTCAATCAATCAATCAGTTTATTATCATGTCATAAAAGGATGATACAGGGAGTAAAATATACAGACGAGGGTCACGAAGTACAAGACTGCAACGGGACCCTCGGTGATCATTACAAATAATAAAAGTACAAGCAGCTGTTAGAATCGTAGAAACAAAAATATATAAAGCAGAATGAAAACAAAAAGGCATGGAATCAAAAAACTAATACAGCATAAAACAACACAAAAAAGATACATCAACAATTTAACAGGTACTCTTTTAATGAATTTTTAAAGAAAAATAAAGAAACTTTGCATTTTAGCGAAGTGGGCAAATTATTCCATATGGTGATGGCACAGAAGGGAGAAAAGATGCTTTACCATAGTTAGCACGAACCTTAGGAAGTAAAAAGTTATTATTGGCCGCAAACCTGGTTGATAATGATGATGATATATGTTGTTTAATAACGCAAGGGCCATTGATGGCCAAAGAGCGCCAGGAAATGATACCGTATGAGAGCAATGGTTATGTTAAATGGCTGTAAAAAGGCCTAAGATTCTGCGCTCTAAACGTGCGTAAGACATATATTTATTGAAATTATGAAAGTGAAATGAAGCATGCCTGGTGAGAATGAGTCTTAAGTTGTGATGACACCATAGAATAGGAGTGTGTACTAGCACCGATACCTCGCCGGCGCCCTTGCTCCCAAGGGCTGGGAGACAGGTGCTCTCTTTGGATGTAGCTTCCGCAGCAGCAGCCTCCTTTCAGAGGCCGTGCTACTGATCACTTGTGTAGATAACATGGAAAGTATTTACTTCCTTTAAGAATGCATTTAATGCATTATATTTAAAAAGAGGTTCGCGACCAATAAACATAGCTGGGTGAAGGGGTATGTGTTCCTTGTACGCTAGTGGAAAATGTTTTTTTCCTGTAAGCCTCTAGCTCAGAGCATTCAAGGAGTATGTGAAGTATGGTAAGTGGACGGCCACATCTGTGACAGCTGGGTGGGTCACCACCGAACAAAAGGTGTGTGTGCGTGCTGTGTGTGTGTGTCCTATTCTAAGCCGACAGAGACTAACCTCTGTACGGCGCGTTTTCGACGTGGGTGGCCAGTTACCGAGGTATGGTTTGATCAAGTGTAACTTGTTACGAGTTTGTAGATCCCATAACTTCTGCAAGGAAGCCCTGAGCTTTTTCCGTATGTTTGGTTTTAGGTCCATTATAGGGAGAGCAACTGAAGAGTTGGCAGAGCTTCCGTTAATTGACGTGGCGAGCTGGTTGCCCAACACATTTCCTTCGACCTCGCGATGTCTTGGCACCCAGCACACGATGATATGTTGCTTGGAAGTATAGGCCGCGCAGAGTATTGAATAGAGGGATGTAGTTATAGGGTTTCTCTGTTTTTTAAGATTTTTCAACGCTTGTACGACACTCAGGGAGTCTGTGTATATAACTACCCCTGGCGTATTCAATTCTTTGATGTGTTTAACGGCTACGAATAACGCGTAAGCCACGGCTGTAAAAATGCTTGTGCTGGTGGACAGAACGCCGGCATCCGAGAAGGATGGGCCGACCGCCGCATAGTACACGCCAGTGTGGGACTTGGATGAATCAGTATAATATTCTGGACAGTCATATTTATGTTGCAGCTCTAAGAAATACATCCGAATGTGTATGGGGGAGGCATGCTTTGTGACAGCTACGAAAGATGTGTCACAGTCTATAACCTGCCACTGCCATGGCGGGAGCCGCAGAGTGGAGGGGCTGAGGTGGTATTCAAGCAGTGGGACATCTGTTTTTTCCGCTAGGTCTCTAACACGCACCGAGAAAGGGCGTGCCATTGCAGGTCGATTGTAAAAAAGTTGAGAGCTGGACAGGTCGTTGATGATGGAATACGCAGGTTGCTCACTGTTTGCATTTACTTTAAGGAAATACATGAAGGAAGAATAAGTTCTCTGCAGATGGAGTGACCACTCGTCCGATTCCACATAAAGGCTTTCAACTGGGCTTGTTCTAAAGGCGCCTGTGGACACGCGGATGCCTTGATGATGAACAGGGTCCAACATTTTCAGAGCGCTTGGCGTGGCAGAGTGATAGACTATTGCCCCATACTCAAGACGTGAGAGTATAAGGCTTCTATACAGATTCATGAGGCACTTTCTGTCGCTGCCCCACGTTGTTCGTGACAGCACCTTCAGTATATTCATTGTTTTCAAGCATTTATTTTTAAGATGTTTTATGTGCGGTACAAAGGTTAACTTCGCATCTAAAATTATACCTAGGAACTTATGTTCTGTGTTTACGGGTAGACGCTCACCCTTAACGACCAGTTCAGGCTCAGGGTGCAAGCCTCTTTTTCGAGAAAAAAGGACACAGGTGCTTTTCTGTGGGTTCAGTTTGAACCCGTTTTCATCAGCCCATTTGGATATCTTGTTAAGGGCGAGCTGAACCTGTCGCTCACAGATCCCAAGAGAACACGATTGAAAACCTATCTGCACATCGTCGACATATGTTGAATAAAAGATATTACGTGGGATGTACAGACGGAGAGAATTCATTTTTATAATAAAGAGCGTACAGCTGAGCCCCCCACCTTGTGGCACTCCGGTTTTCTGTACAAATGTTCGGGACAGAACATTGCTCACTCTAACGCGGAAGGTACGATCAGACAGATAGCTTTCAATGACACTGAACATATTACCGTGTATACCTATGTGTGAGAGGTCTCTCAATATTCTAAACCTCCACGTAGTATCGTAGGCCTTCTCCATGTCGAGGAACACAGATAAGAAAAACTGATTATGAACAAAAGCCTCACGTATGTGTGCCTCGATACGTATAAGATGGTCGGTGGTAGATCGGCCCTCTCTAAACCCGCACTGGTATGGGTCGAGCAATTTGTTTGTTCCTAAGTAGTGGAGTAAGCGGCAATTAATCATTTTTTCAAATAGTTTGCACATGCAGCTTGTTAACGCTATAGGTCTGTAACTTGATACAGTATAGGGATCCTTTCCCTGCTCCAAAATTGGAATTATAACAGCCTCCTTCCAGGAGGAGGGGATCACACCTGAAAACCATATGCGATTATAAAGAGAGAGGAGGGTTTCTTTAGTTTCGGAGGGTAGTTCCTTCAGCATCGCGTACATTACGCTGTCAGAACCTAGTGTAGATGTATCACAGCAGATGAGTGCTGTTCGCAGTTCTGCTAAGCAGAATGGTGCATTATATGCCTCATTTCTTGCGGATTTTCTTTCTAACTTTTGTTTTTCTATTCGTGCCTTGTAATTCTGGAAGGATTCGGAGTAGTGTGAGGAGCTCGATATGTGTTCGAAATGTGTGCCAAGAAAGTTGGCTTGATCCTCCAAGCTTTCCCCGAGGCTATTTACAAGTGGAAGGAAATACGTTTGTTGGCCCTTAATTTTCTTTACCTTATTCCACACTTTTCCCTCATCTGTGTACGAGTTGATACTCGATATAAACTTTGTCCAGCTCTCTCGTCTAGCTTGTCGACGCGTTCTCCTTGCCTGCGATTTGACCCACTTGAAATTTTCTAGGTTTTCTGCTGTAGGGGAAAATCGAAGCAACGCCCATGCTTTGAAGCACGCCCATGCTTTGCGAAGCAACGCCCATGCTTTGTTCTGAGTGGTCCGTGCTTTCCTGCATGCGCCGTTCCACCATGGGACTCGCCGTTTAGAAGACATGCCGCTCGTTTTTGGCAATACATTTAGATGCGGCATCAAGTATAAAAGCTGTAAAATACGTGACAGCGTCATCTATGGTCAGGGCAGACAACTCAGTCCATGTCATGTGTGTAAGAGTTTTATACCCTTCCCAATCAGCTGAGTCAATCTTCCATCGAGGAACCTGCGGGGGTAGTTGATCTTTGTTCGGCGCACTCAGGATGATTGCGAAGTGGTGACTACCATAAGGGTTTTTAAGAACATTCCACTTAAAAACAGGTAAAAGGGACGGTGATGAAATGCTAAGATCTATGGAGGAGTACGTGTTGTTTGCAAGGCTAAAATACGTAGGCTCCTTTATATTTAAAAGACATAAACTAGAAGAGAAAAGGAGCTGCTCAATGAGACATCCTCGCGCATCACAGTGAGCATCGCCCCACAGGACATTGTGTGCATTAAAATCACCTAGAACCAGAAACGGCTCAGGGAGTTCATCTATTAATGATTCTAGATCACCTCTGTGTAGCTTTTGATGCGGTGGTATGTAGACAGAACATATGGTAATGAGTTTGTTAAAAAGTACAGCTCGAATGGCCACTGCCTCAAGGGCCGTTTTGAGCTTCAAATGCTGGCATGCTATACTACGATCAGCTATAATGGCTACACCACCAGATGGTACGACAGCATCCTTCCGTTCTTTTCGGAAAATAATATATTGTCGTAGCAAGTCCTTGTGCTTAGGAGTTAAGTGCGTTTCTTGCACACATAGCACTTTCGCGTTA